CGGCTGGTCTACGCCGCGTCGGTGAGCAGGCGAGCTCAGGCCGAGGAGGGGAGGCCCGCGGGCCGGAGGGCGGCTGCGGAGGGGCTGGCCGGTCAGAGGGGCGGAGGGCCAGGGCTCAGACGCGGTAGCGTCGGTCTCCGGGGAGGGCGCCTGCCGAGTGCCGGCGGGGCCGGGTCGGGGAGGCCCTCCGCGGCGCGGCACCATGCTCGGCGCGGGGCTTTTCCGGAGCCTGGCCGCTGCCCCGGCCCCGGGCTCCGTGAGCTACCCACTGCCTCAGGACGCGGGCTGGGAACTGTGCCCAGCTTAGGGGAGGTGTTGCCTAGCCTTTCGCCCTCTGCACCTTTGTTGACTTACAGATTCACCGTCACAGGTGGACGTGGACCTAAAATGTATGACCTGGTTCTGGCAAATGTTTGTCAAGAAGCTTGGCTCTGTGGACGGTGCTTAGCAATGGTGGCTTTTTTGTAGAGTTGTGTTAGGGTGGCTGGAGAATAAGCCAAATATCTCGGAAGAAGCCTGCAACGTTTTAAAACGTGGAAACATTTAGGAAATTTACTTAGCAACTCGTGCACCCTTTGCTTTGAAGGTTCTGAAGGTGTTTGTCCTCAGTGATTGAAAGATTTTTACTTAGTGGTGCTGAACCAAGAAGCAGCTTTGTTGGTGTTATATTTTTAAGACAAGATGACCAAGATGTTGCAAGAGGTGACAGGCCTGTGTTTTGTATCAAGGGTTAGAGGAATGTGTAGATCATCTTGCCCTTTTTGTGATGAAAGTATTACCCGAGAGCTTTTGGACACATCAAAGCCGTTTCGAAATCAGTTTTTGCTGTTTGAGTTACAGATACTTTAAATGGCTTGTAGATTGGGCCTAGTTTGCTCACTGAGATTTCGTTTTAAGTGTGTATGGTGTAGGTGTTAGCCAGAGAGGTACTTCTCGTCCCCGGATGAGCACTAAGAAGCTGAGGAAATCCCAGAGTTTCCACATCATGCGGCTCCCTGTGGCCTTGTTTGCTTTCGTTGTTTGTTTTTTGAATTATGCCCTTTCTTAAGGTTCTGGCTGCTGGTCTCTTGCAAAGATAAGGCGAGAGTGACTCACTTACCTTAACAGCAGCTACTGCAGCGAGTCTAGAAACTGTACAGGAAGTTTTCTTTAAGGTCGTGTGCAAATTCCAATAGGATTCCTTCTTGCTTCTGGAAACTTGTTTTCATGAGCGTCAGGGTGTCCTTTTGACCCTCGTCAGTTTTAGCAGTGCTTAGATTGCTGCTGCTTCTTTTAAACCTCTACATGTATTCGATCAGGATTCTGAATTTAGAAAAGTCGGAGTTTACAGTGTCTTTTTATTTGCATACTTAAACGTCCAGTAGTCTGACAGGGCATCACTCTAGCAGCCGCCGTGAGGGAGACTGAGGGCAGAGGGTAGACAGACCAGTGGTTGCTTGGTGCTTCTGTTGATTTAGACACTTACAGCTGGGGGCCAGTGGTCCTGGGAGGAGAGGGGAGCGTGTGTGTGTTTTACATATCTCGGTTCAGTAGCCAGAAAGATAGTGAAAATGGGGCATGCTTAAGTATTTCACATAGATACAAAGTCGTTCAGTTGAAGAGCTGGGTTTATGAATAATGCATCTTCAAGGAGATCAGCAGGTCTCGTCGGAACAGCCTGCCTTTTCAGAAGTTAGAAGATGTGAGGGTGTGGAATGGCTGAGTCAGAATCGACTCGACGACACACACAACAGCAGCAGAGTGAAGTTCCCAGGAGCGAGACAGAGGATATGCGGTTGTATTGTTTCTCTGCTGATGGATAGAGAAAAAAGTTTTAAAAAAACCCATGAGATTGCTCCAGTCAAGATTGCCGTATTGCTAAATAGCTAGAAGTTGGGAGCTTAAGTTTGTATTTAAGTGATAGTGTTTGGTTGTAAAAATGGCTCTTGGTCCTGTAGAGTTGAGAAAGTAATTTTAAGAAAGTTTCTCAAGGAAAGCATTCAAGTATAAAGCTGTGAAGTTTAGATTTTGTGAAGATTTCCCAATTTAGCAGCAGTAGAGGTTAGAGTATCCCAGAATCCACTGGGAGTGAAACCTCGAAGACTTGGCCTGGAAGGTACCTCAGGAAAGTCATTTTAGCCACTCTCTCCTTTTACGGATGAGGAGCGATGACGTGCCGAGTCACTCAGCGCGACCCCAGACTTGCTGCCTTGCTGTCACAGTGATGCCTGGCGAATACGTCCTCTAGGCCTGCACTCTACTTATTAAATCCAGAAAGCTGCTCAGAATGCTTGTGGAGGGTCTTCTGCTGAAACTTTGCAAGGAGGAGGCCCGTGTCCTGGAAGACACCGTAAGGTGCCTCTGTTCCTCCAGGTAGCAGTGTTCCTAGGAGGGACGTGGACGGACGCCGTCCCTGACTGCCAGTGGAGGCTTTGCGGTGTCCAGGTGTGGCGCTGCAGCCAGCTTGAGGGGATGCAACCGAATGCCCAGCAGCGGATGCTGGCAAGATGCCCCACCTGTTCTACTTTCAAGCCATATAAAACCGAGCTGTAAACGCTCTTTATTTGAAAATGACAGATAGAACCAGAGGAGACCTCTGATGCTGTTCTGAATGCAGCCCATCAGGTTTGAGTGGACTTCAAGGTGCTGTCATTGGGTGGGAAAGAGTCCCCTGCTGGCAGAGGACAGAAGTGAATGAATGAGTGTAGTCACAGGACAAGGTTTCAGGGCGGCAGAGGGGGCTTGCATTTGTAAATAGCTTTACTTAAGATACCTTCTTAAATGTCTTCTTCGCTTATCCAACTACCAGGAAGATTTCCAATTACAAACAACCTGTACTTGGCAGCAACGTGTGGCTTGAACTCTGAGTCCATCCACCCGCTTCCCCCTTTGGCAGCTGACTTTTCTCCGGGATTGGTGAAACTGACCAATGGAAAAGGACTTTCTAAAGCTACGGTTCTTGAACTTTTGCCTTAAAAGTACAGGTTAGCTCTTCAGGACTCTGCTTGTATTTTATTAAGAAACAACAACACCCCCCCACCCCATAATTAGAGGCTTGTTGGCACACTCTGCCTGTTGTTCAAGTTGTGAACCAACTCAGTTGGTCGACTTTACAGCTGTCGTAAGTTTACTTGGGATCTTCATTCCAGGCATAGCTGTTGCTCCAGCTCGCAAGAGGTCAGAGGCAGCCGTATTTTGCTAGTGGCGTTTTCAAACCTTAAACCAGTCAGTGCAAAAAATGAGACAGTTTTCATGGTGGGTAAAAGGCATTATAGATGAATCCATTTCAGATAACTTGTTTTGCAGCTTTTATTACTCCCTGCTTTGTAATGCTCTCTTATTAAAGTGCACAGAAGAAGGGATTTTCAGCTTTTGTTTTTCTCTTGAGATTCAAATTCACCTGCATGAAAAGTGTGGTAATGCACTTTCCCGTCTTAGGAGAGGAGTTGGCTCTTTCTGGATCTGGTGATAGTTTGTGGAAAATGGGTAGGAACTGTGCAGCCTGGTGTGGTGTGTGTTAGACCGGTACTCAGATTTGGTGAGGGCGTTCCATAGGTGACGGGTATCCCATGTGGGTGTTCAGCTGGTTACATAACCCGGAGAGGGCAGGGCTTGTCCAAAGTGGCCCAGCTGGCTCGTGGCAGCCCTCCTCAGCCCTCGCCTGGTGCCCTCGGACAGCCCCAGGACAAGGACCCTGCAGGAGCTGGAGTGGCTCCATGCACGGCTCACTTCCTCAGTGGTTAAATGACTCAGGATCACGTTCCATCTTTTCTTTTTTCTCAGTTTCCTGGTTGCAGCTAGAACTTTGAACTTGTGGGCTTTGTGCTAATTCATTCTTTTTTCTTTTTTGTTTTCAGGTCAGATTAAGGAAAAGCGATATCCTGCTTCTTTCTGTAAGCAGCATCTCATTTTGCAGGAACTAGATCATGCAGCCACCACCCCAAGCAGCCCCGTCGGGACTGGTCGGGCCACCTCCAGTGGGAAATCCTCGGGGCATGTTTTGGTCGAACAGCCCATATAGAAGACGGGTGTCCAGCAGTGTGCCGGCAGCTCCTGTGACATGCCCACTGCAGCCGGTGACAGACCCTTTTGCTTTCAGTAGGCAGGTGGCCCAGGACACGTCCCTGGACACTTTGTCCAGAAGCAGCCTGCCTGTCGTGCCAGGCCCAGCACCCCCGGCATTTTCTCAACACCCAGCTCTGCCTACACCTCACACAGGTACCGGGGATCCTTCTCAAGGACCATGTGAGCCTGTGCCGGGCCCTTTCCTGCAGCCCGGAGTGGATGCCAGCCTGTTCTCCAGCGCATCGACCCCTTCAGCGCAGCCTGGGCCCGAGGCGAACAGGAGCACAGAGAGGGGGCCCAGCTCAGCACCCAACGTTCCGACCCCACCGAATCCTCCTCAGTGCATTCCAGGAGTGGGTCCTGACAGTCCTTATGGGGCAGCACCAGGGCCTGCCAGACCCCTCAGCAGGCAGAATCCCCGCGACAGTGCTGGGCCACCAGCAGTATCCTCTTTCTTCCCTCAGCCGCCTGTGCAAATGCTGGATTCGTGGGTGCCAGTCCAGGGGGGTCCACGGCCCTCAGGCCAGCACTGTTCCCCCTGCCCAGAAGGACCTGGCCACAGCGTGGTACCCCGGGCTTCTGGCCTTCCTCATTTTCCCCCTCAGTCTAGGGCACACCAGAGTCCTGCCCATGAACAGCAGCACAGCCCCCTCGCTCCTGGACCAGGACCCTTGGCTGGGGATGAAAGGAATGAGACAGCCTATCTGCAGAGTGGAAACCACTCCACCCGTCACTTTGATCCTGAGAACACGTTCAGGCAGAGCCCCAGAGTGGGCCCAGCCTGGGCGAGCCAGGAGTTTAGGCAGAATCCGGGAGGCAGTAAAGAGCTCAGGCCAGACCCTGCTCTCGCTAACCCCCTTGCTCAGGGAAATGGTCCCGACCACCACCTGCACTACCCCCCTGGGGCGGGGGCTGGCTCGGCAGCACTCTCCATGTTCTTCCAAGGCGGGGAGATGGAGAATGAGGAGAACCTTTCAGCCGAGAAAGCAGGCTCTGGGGGGCCGTCTGCTTTTGATGGCTTCTGCCCTAACCCCGGCCTTAGCCACCGTCCTCCTGCCGCACACATGGGCACAGGCAGTCCTTCCCAGGCCTTCCTCCAGGGCCCCAGCAGTGAGACCACACAGCCAGGAGGGGACTCGCAGCCCTATTTTTCTCAGTCTGCGGGCAGCCAGCGCGATCAACCGACGGCTGGAAGTGCGGCTGCTGGTACGTGGGGTGACCCAGCAGGCCCAGGGACGTGTGGCGCCTTTGGCCCACAGTGTGAGAATGTCGAGAACCTGGAATTCATCCAGAACCAAGAAGTTCTGCCGAGTGAGCCGCTGGGTTTGAGCTCTTCCTCCCAGAGTGACCCGTTCTGGTGTGGAGCCCTTCCCGGGCCGCCTACTCCCAAGAGCGGTGTCACGAGCCATGTGGGAGGCGGGGGGCCACACCTGGAGGCCCCCAGTGCACCTGTACTCCCTGACAGCGTGTCATCCAGCTACAGCAGTAAAGATCACCGGGCCCCTCTGAGTTCGGCCAGACCCCAGGAGTTAGTGGGCACCTTTATTCAGCAAGAAGTTGTAAAGCTTGATGAAGAAGCTTCAGGCAGTTTCTTTAAACAAATAGATTCTTCCCCTGTGGGAGGAGAGATGGATGAGACCCCCATGAGCCAGAACTACCGCCACAGTCTATCCCAGCCCTCGACCCCAAGTCCTCCGAAGCCCACAGGGGTATTTCAGACAAGTGCAAACAGTTCTTTCGAGCCAGTGAAATCCCACTTCGTTGGGGTGAAGCCAGTTGAGGCAGATCGTGCCAACATGGTGGGCGAAGTGCGGGGCAGCCGTGTCCGCCAGAAGAAGCGGAGACCAACAGCCGCCCTACCTGATGCCTCCCCTGGCAACCTGGAGCAGCCGCCCGACAACATGGAGACCCTCTTCACTGCCCCGACCTGTCTGCTGCCCCTCAGCACCTCTGTGGAAGCTGGCCACGTCCTTCCACACACTGGGGGGCCACCTTCAGAAACCGGGTTCCCGACACCTGAGAAAAGGTCCTCGGCCAGGGCTCAGGGGGCTGTGAAGTGCGAGAGCCCAGCTACGACCTTGTGGGCACAAAACGAGCTTCCAGATTTTGGGGGCAATGTCCTCCTGGCGCCAGCTGCCCCTGCACTCTGTGTCCCCACAAAACCTCAGGCTTCAGAGGTGATTCAGCCGCCTGACGAGGGTGTCGGCGGGCAGCAGCCAACCAAGCTGTGCTCCCTGTCCCCACTCCAGAACCGAGACGGCATTGGTGCTTCTGAAAACCTCGAGAACCCTCCCAAGATGAGCGAGGAGGAGGCCTTCCAACCTCAGGCAGGTTCCGGTTACGCCAGCCTGCTCCCCTCGCCGCCGCCCGACTCTCTGCACAGCCAGCCGGTCCTGATCGCCCAGCCCGATCAGAGCTATAATTTGGCTCAGCCCGTTCATTTTTCCGTGTCGTTGTCAAATCATAATGAGAAGAATCCTCCCCAGAGAGACCCTTTGGTGGGGGATAGGCCTGCACTGGGCAGCTGGGGTCTCCCTGGTGAGTCTGGAGAAAGTGCTTCCTTGTTGGGGCTCCCACTCAGTGCCCCCGTCAGCCCGCCTCTGCTGAGCAGTCTCGCCCAGGGTGGTTTTCCGCAAGCTTCTGGTCCTGAAACAGTTGTGAAGCAGCCTGCCTCCCTGCTGGCCCAGCCCTCACCTCAGCCGCCTCCAGTGAGCTTGGCTTCAGAAAGCCTCAAGAACTGCACCACGGAGAGCGTGCCTCCTGCGTTCACTCACAGCCCTGCTGGGAGCGCGGGGGTGCTGTTGTTGCCACCCGGGAGCGGCAGTCTGCCACCTAACCGCTCCAGCAGTGGGGAAGAAACTTCTGGAGCCCTAGACTTTACGTTGAACAGGACTTTGGGAAATCCTGTAAGAATGTGCAGTCCGTCCCATTCTGACGGCCCAGCTGCCGCTCAGCAGAGCCTCGCCGGTCATCCGAGACAGCCTGGGCCTGGAGCACATGACCCAGACTGTTTCTACCAGCAGGTGACACAAGTGGCCCTGGGCCCGAGTGGCCTTGAGAGAGCCCAGCTGGAGTCAGGGCCTCCGCAGCAGCCCACTCTTGCCCCACAAATGCCCAAGGCAGCGTTGCCAGAACCTTCCAGCACAGGAAGCCCACCTGCACCAGGCCAGGCCCACAGTTCCGCCCAGCCACCAGCGAGTCCCGCTCCGGCCGACACCGGTCAGCAGGTGCTACCTGGGCCTCCTCGGTCCTCCAGCATGTCTGTCACCTCAGCCAGCTCGAGCCAGGCAGCTGGGCGGTCAGAGCCGCAGTGGCCACCTCCGCCGCCACCCCCGGACTTGTCATCCTACTACTATTACAGGTCCTTCTATGACTTGTACCCACCTCAGTATCCCTTGCCGTACCCGCCGGAGCCTGGGACAGCGCCCGTCTATTACAAGGTAGAGTAGAGCGTTCGTGTTTTCCAACCTGTGTCTCTCTTTGCTCTCAGCCGTGGCTTTCTTTCCGTGTGCGCTGGTTGGCAGTGCTGTGTCTGCATACTGTGGGAGTAGCCGTGGTCCTCCCAGCCCGTTCTCTCCCAACACACAGGGTGCTTCATGAAAACCGTGCTCCCGGGTCCTAGGCGTGCTCCACCAAGCACGGACCATCCTTGGAGGTTCACCGTGCACGCTGGCATTGTGAATCACTTACACCACGTGCTTAATTTCTGTTTAACCCAGTATGCTCTGACTTAGGTAACAGAAAGGACCCCTTGTTGGCTTGTGACCCCTGCTGGCACTCTGCAGAACCAGGTTCTGTGTGGTGTACTTCTGCAAACTGGCATAGGTGTTTGAAGCTTTTGTGTGTTTTGATATCAGCAATCAACGTAGAAGCAACAGAAATAACTGTAGACTCTTTAAATCCATTTTCATAATAGAAACTTTCAGGGAGAGAAGTTATGTTTGAAGCGGTATCCAAATGAAGCCGCTAAGAGAAATGAAATTCTGCAAGCTGCTCCGGATAGCGGAGAGGGTAGAGGACTTCAGTGCTCTCCTCGCACCAACGCGAGCTCAGGAGTGCTGTTGAAATTACATTCTCCGAGGACCTGCAGTCTTGAGAACGTTTGTCTAAGATGACACATGTCCATAGTCTCAGCCTTTCATCGCCACTAATCCCCGATCTAGTGTTACCTACAGTAGGACCGTGGGACACGAGAGCTGAAAACCACAGTCTGTGTCCAGAGCCTAGTGGTGTTGAATTCATGTGGCTGCCTAAATGCAGTAAGAATCAGTGGGTCATGCCGGAAGTTACCAGAAAGTCCTGGCAGGCACTGCAGTCGGAGAGGCCCAGGAAGCAGGGCTCCTGTGGGCTGGGGTGTGAGGCTGGCTGCCCTGGTGATGGAGGCCCGCCCCTCTTGTGAGCTCTCGGGCACCTTGGTTTGTGTGTGCAGTCAGCTACACACCTAGCGATGGAGACCGCTGAGTTCCCAGTTCTGAAAACAGCCTCTGTGGGGCTTTGTGTCCCTGGCAGGGAACAACCGCCACGAGCTCAGGACGGTGCCAAGCAGGGAGAGCCCCTCACCCTGTGTCCTCTCACGCTTTCACTCCCAGCCAGCGGCCGTGAGCGTGAGACACTTGGTTCTACCTAGTCTGTCTGTCACTGGAGTCCCCAGTAGTAGTCAGGAGTAAGTGGACGTTGATGCAATCTCATGGCCAGGTAATGGCAGAGGCCGCCTCAGACCTCCGCTGTGCTCCGGCGACGCCTGCAGGGTGTCGAGATGGCTAACAAGCACGTGGTGGGATGAACGGGGCAGCGCGCGGTAGTGTGAACGGGGCAGCACGTGGCGGGGTGAGCAGGGCAGTGTGCGGTGGGGTGAACGGGGCAGCGCCCGGTGGGATTCTCTTGGGTCGCTTCAGGCCCCATTGGGGTGAAATCCTGGTCAGTAACAGAGCCTTCTGCTGCCGAGGTGGTGCTGAGAGGGGACACGCTAGGCCCTGTGTCCTCGGGGGGCTGGGGCCCTGCACGTTTGAGGAGCAGGAAGGAGAAGCTGAGCTGTCCCCTGTGAAGTCACAGGGCCCTGGGTGTGGTCTGCCCCACTGGACGGGAAGATGGTGAGCGTGTCCTAAGCTGGGTGACCGAAATCCAAGGGTGGTCCTGCTGTCTGCCTGTCCGAGGGAGCTCCCTCCACCCGGCCTCTTGTTTTCATGAAGGAGTGGGCCGCTGCTGATCCGAGCCAGAGCAGCCCCCAGTCTGCTCTGCGTGTGGAATCTGATGCTCGCACATCTTCCTCCCCCAGGACACCTATGGCCTGTACAGGCCCTACGACAGTGCCGCGTCTGCCTACGCCGAAAACTACCGCTTCCCTGAGCCTGAGCGGCCTAGCTCGCGGGCGAGTCACTGCTCGGACCGGCCGGCACCCAGGTTGGAGCTGCGCGCCTCGAGGGTCTCTCTCCCTGACAGGTTGTGTGTGTGCGGCTGGGTGGTGGGCCCTTCGGGAGGGGAAGATGCTGCCCTTGTAAAGTACAGGTGGTCGCCATCTCAAGACGGGGTTCTGTTCCGATGACTCCGTCCTAAGTCATTTCTGACATAAGTGAAATAACTTCTTTTTTATTTTTTTTTAGTTTTCATTATTGTTGTCTTTTATTATCATTGTCTTTATAAATCTAGTCTTTATTTGTTTTGAGGGTGTGCAGACATCACACATAAGCTTACAGAGATGTTTTAATACAGACGTACGTAAGTAAAAATGCACACAAATCATAAAAATTTCCTGACGATGAAAACGAGTTGGCGATGTTGGCATTTTGTCAGGTAGTGATGACTCCGCTCGTGGAAGCTCCGGGATTTTCTGGACTATCCCTGGGAATAGGGGTGGCGCTCCCGGTCAGAAAACTAGCGAGAGTTGTCTCTGTGGTCCTTTTCTTTGTTTCTTCGCATATTTCGTGGTGATGCCTCACTGCTCCCCGAGTCTGCCTGTCGACTTCAGCAAAGCAATCAGCATTTGGGTTCCTTTTTTCAAGCAACTGACGTCCCTAATTTAGTTTAGAAAAAAACTCAAGCTCGTCGTCTCGCTGTAAAATGTTTGACACCTTCTGTCCTTCCCCTTCCTCATGATTTCTTTCTTCAGCATTTCTTTTCTCTTGAAAATCCATTAAGTCCTGATCTGTCGATTCCCTTTCTTCATGATCTATGAGCTGTCGCACATCGGCGATAGCAAGTTCTAAATTCGGCATTCTTGCCGTATGGGTGATGTTTCCACTGATCTCTTCCGTCATGTTATCCTGATCAAGTGCTTGGAGTATGTTCACATAACTCCGGAAGTTTTCCCAAGTCCCCTGCAGACATTTTTCCGTAACTGTCTCCCGGGAAGCTGCAGTGTTGCAGATACACTGACGGCCGTAAGTGGGATTCGTCGTGACTTGAACACGTTGGAAGTCGGCTTGCTTGTCCTAGTCAGGCCTCTTTCTCATCTGTTTGTGTGTTGTCAACGCGATAAGCTTTAAAATGGATCCAGTCAGCCAGCCCCCGGCCCGGCCCTCATTGAGCCGGCCTTCACTGAGCCGGCCCCTGCATGGGCACAGGTAGCACCTGCTGCCCTGCCGTCCTTGTTCTCTGCGCCCGCACTGAGACGGGTGGATAGACCCATCTGCCTAGCCCACCAAGCCTCTGAGCCCACGCGCCTCTGTCCTGCAACTTGGGAAGAGATTCAGACAGAGCCATTGGTGTCCTACATTGAGCTGAGCATGCATCGGAGCAGGCCAGGGTCTCCTGCGCCCCTTGAGTTAAGAGCTTGTGTTTGGTTTTTGTTTCCACTCCGAGATGCTGGTAGAATTGGGATGAAGTAGCAGGCTCTGTGGCTCCCCTCAGTGGGGTTTGCTTCTGCTGGCCTCTCCCAGCCGCCGCCTGCATTGGCTTTGTCCAGGTTAGATGGTAGTTTGTCCCCTCACAGGTAGGGTCACTTGCAGGGCACACCGCTTCTTCAGCATTGTCACACAGAGAGATCTAGTTGTCCACAAAGCCATGATGTGCACGTGCTCGTTGTGCTGATCTGAACACAGGAGGCTTTGTTCTGAGCCCTTGCCAGTATGGCTAGCCTCGGTGTACCCTGCTGAGAGGTCGACACCGAACCATGTGGGAACGAACGTGCCCAGTGGCCTGAAGTTCTCAGGCCACTCGGTTGAGCTCTGTCTCTAGCGGGTCATTGACTGGTTTGCTCTGTGAGTGCTGATCTGGCTCACGGATGCGTCAAGCTGTGTAGGGCTCCAGGATGCGGAGGCGCCTGAGCCTGCTGGCCCTGCCCCCCAGGAGTGTGGCTCCCTGCCGTCAGGCACGCCTTGACACCACGCGGAGCCCAGCGTCAGCCTTGCCTTCTGTACGGTGTCACACTGAGAGCCCAGACGGGGCAGTTCTCTCTTCCAGACATTTTCCTGAGCTGTGGGGTGGGGATGTCCGTAATCTCATCATTGCTACCCTTTCGGATCTTCTAGTCAGAATGTTTTCACAGCCAAAGCGCTTTGGTGAAAGCCAGTTGATTGGGTTATTGTTTGTCTTGGCTGGGATCTTGTCACTTGTTAGTTACCAACTCTGTGTTTTCCAGGCAGGGATACCCTGATGGATATTATCATTCCCAAGGCGGATGGAGCAGTCAGAGTGACTACTACGCAAGTTACTGCTCCAGCCAGTATGACTACGGAGGTGGGTTAGAAGGCTAGCTGTCAGGCGCCACCAGCTGCGTGCCCCAGTGCCCGCTGGCCTCTGCAGGGGCTTCGGCTCCTCCAGAGTCCTTGAGCGTTCCTGAGTCCTGGGGTGGCCCAGCATCTTTAGTGAACCCCATGGCGTTTCTCTTTTGTGTGCTGTTGTACTGACCCGGTAATCCCTCGCTTGTAGATCCTGGCCACTGGGATCGCTATCACTACGGTTCTCGATTCAGGGACGCCCGCTCCTACGACCGGAGGCACTGGTACGATGCCGAGTACAATCCGTACCGGAAAGAGACGTATGCATACGGGGACAGGTTGGTGAATACGCTTCCCGTGCAAGGTTTGCAGGAAAGCAGGGGGGTGCTCCTGCTTCTGTGTCCTCGTGTCTTTGTGAGGTACCAGAGAGCTGCCGTGTTCTGGGTTCCTGGGAGCAGCTGCTGGGGTGCTGGCCAGTGTCTGAGAGAGGAAAGGAGAACAGGGAGTCCTGGCTTCTTCCTTGTGGCCTGAACAAAGACGAGGCCTTGGCGGGATGGGACTGTGGCACCTTTCTCCAAGGTGGCTCGGACGTCATGTCCGTCATAAGTTGGCAGGAATGGGTTTTTGTGACTGGTGTCCTAAAGGTTGTGCTTGGCAGTGGGGAGGATGGGAGCAGCGAGGATTTGATGGGGGCTGGATTGTAGCGGTTTACTGTTGCCCCGGAGCCGCTCCCCACATCCCACAGCCTCTGCTTCTCCTCCACGCGTCCTCTAGACCTGAGAGGTACGACGATCCCTGGAGGTATGACCCCCGCTTCACGTCCAGCTTTGAGGAGGACCCGGAGCTGCACCGAGACCCGTACGGGGACGAGGGGGACAGGCGCAGCGTCCACAGCGAGCACTCGGCACAGAGCCTGCACAGCGCCCCCAGCCTGCACAGCCGCCGCAGCAGCGTCAGCGCCCACTCACAGCAGGTGGGCGCTGCTGCCCAGAGCATGCCTCCTGCCCGAAACCGTCTCATGTCCCCTTCCGGAAGACTCCTGCCCGTTAGGCCACGCTTAGCACACAAGCTGACGCCATGGGCAGGGTCTTGAGCAAGATGGAAAGAGAACTTGCGAGATAATTGTCGAGATAATTAAAGAAGTGTGTGGAACCAGTTCTATTTAGGACACAGTTATCCTTTTTCTGCAGTTCTGATAACATACAGTCTCGTCAATGCCCCTGGTGTTCGCGGTGAACTCATTTTTAATTTTACCCTTTTGTTTTGTGTTTTTAAGAGTCAGATTTACAGAAATCACAATGTGACTGCCGGCTCCTATGATGCCACGGCTCTGCCGGGTTCCTTTCACGGTGATTACGGCTATGGCACTTACGGCAGTGATTTCAGCGGTGTGCAGGCCTTTCCTGAGTATGGCTACCCTGCAGGCACCAGCTGGCCCACCGCGGGGTCAGGTGGGTGTTGCCACGGCAGTGCAGGCAGAGCACCTCCCGTCCTCAGCCCAGAGGGACACCGGGTCCGTGAGGGGCAGGGTGAGGGGCTGGCTCGGCAGTCAGCGTTTGTGTTATGCTGGCCTGGCTTTACTCTGCAGGACAAGGATGGCCCTGCCCCGCCTGCCCGGCCCTCTCAGCTCGGCTGGTTGAGGGGCTGGGGCGTTCCTTGGGTGCGGCTCCAGCGCACAGGCCAGGCGCTGCTGTGCGTTTGCAAAGCGTGGCTCTCAGGCAGCCTTGTCCGAGCTCTTGGCTGGTGTCTCTTTGTGCCCCCCAAATGCTGGCCACCTGGGCACACGGTTTGGGGGAAACTTGTGATTCTCTCTAGAAGCTCCTGGGTGTGGATTTGCTTGTGTGTCACAGTTTGAATTCCCCCAAATGCCTGATGAAGTGCTGTTTCTTGGAAGACTGCAAAATACGTGTAAAGATATAAAGTGTAACGGCATGTTATTTCTTAGGTAAAATTATTTCAGTTTAAAGTCTTATTTGGCTTTTTACTTAGGGGGTTTTGCTTTCTGCCCTTCCCAGCAGGCGTTCTGTGGTAAAGAATCTGACGTGGAGTGGCCCTGAGCAGCACCAGGGACCCCAGGATCATGGGACTGGAGCAGCGGGGGGTCTTGGCGCTGCCTGACCTAGAAAAGGGGCTTCATGGGTTTTAGTAAAGGAGCTTTTTCTTTTTAGAAGCTCTCGTTTTTTGTAACAATTGTAAAAGTTCTCCTGAGATGTGCTGGAGTTGTATATGTTAACAAGGTATTTAGTAATCAGTGATTTCCAGATGAAAGGGAATGTATCGTGATGAACTCAGCCTCTTTGTGACTTCCTCATATGGGCACCTTGGAAAGCCAAGTGTTTGACCTCGCTCAGCTGCACTGAAAAGCAGCGGGCTGATTGTTGCTTTTTCAATGTGTTTAAATGTAGCTCCATCAAGACCAAGCTCTCCTGAGAAGTTTTCAGTGCCTCACGTCTGTGCCAGGTTCGGTCCCGGTGGGCAGCTCATCAAGGTGATTCCAAACCTGCCTTCGGAGGGACAGCCAGCGCTGGTCGAGGTGCACAGCATGGAGGTAATGGCAGGTGGTGCGCGCCACTCCCCTGCGACCCCGGCCTCCGTGGGCTTGGAGACTGGCGTTTCCGAGCTGTGAGTTGAGGTCGCTGACAGAAGACGTTGGGAAACGTTTGTTCACCCGTGAACCTTCACTTTGTAGGTGTTCCTGTTCTGTTGCTCGTGCCCCTTCCCCAGAAGCCAGCACCACAGGCGTCTGCTCTGGGTGTTGTGCGGACGTGGTCTGGTGTTCTCATCTCCACTCTGGGTTCTTGTCTTTGACTCTGGGAGAACCCTGTGTACATGTATTTTATCCACGCTTTTCGGTAACGTCACACTGAGGAGTGGCTGAGCAGACTCTGCAGGAGAGAACCGTGCTGCTTCCCAGTTTCCTGGCCGGGTGGGGGCGGGGTGCTGCTGCCCCAAGGGGGCTGCAGGGGCACCTTGTTCTGCAGCCCAGCTCCATGCCAGCCAGGCATCTTTGGTGGTGTATGTTGGGGCCCTCTCAGAATTTTTGGATAAAAAATGAACCTCAGCGCTTAAAGTCGGAGAGTCACTGCTCCCAGCCGACATGGGCGCCCCCTCCGTGTCTCTGTGATGGAGCGCCTGTGCCCCCCCAATCCTGGCCCGTTGGCAGCACCTGCCCCGTGGGAGCGCCCGCCCCGTGGGAGCGCCCGCCCCGTGGGAGCGCCCGCCCCGTGGGAGCCGACCCTCCACCTCTCGTTGCAGACGCTGCTGCAGCACAGCCTGGAACAGGAGGAGATGCGCTCCTTCCCGGGCCCGCTCGGCAAGTACGTGTCCGCCTGCTGGGTCTTGCAGCGTCCATGCAGAGTGGCCGCTGCTGGGTGTGGCTTCTGGGGTGCAGGCACTGCCATTACATTGTCTGCTGTCTTTCCAGAGATGACACCCACAAAGTGGACGTTATTAATTTTGCACAGAACAAAGCTACAAAGTGTTTGCAGAATGAAGATATAATTGACAAAGAGTCTGCCAGCCTTCTCTGGAATTTTATCATTCTGTTATGCAGGCAGAATGGGGTATGTTTCTCTGTATTTCTGGAATGTTCTTTAGGTTGGCCTTTGGTCTGGGGAGCCCCCTGCCCTCCTGAGGGTGCTTTGCTGGGTCTGTGCGCTGAGCCATGGGTGGTGATGGTGCTGCTGGGAAGGAGCTTGTTCGGCAGGCACCTGCGGAGCAGCCTGGGGGTTGGGGAGAAGACCGCATGGTTTGGAGGAAGCGGGGTTTCCGCCCAGCCATTGCTGGCCTCTCAGCCAGCCCAGGGTCTGTGCCCGTGTCCCTGCCGGGGTCTCAGCCAGCCCGGGGTCTGTGCCCGTGTCCCTGCCGGGGTCTCAGCCAGCCCGGGGTCTGTGCCCGTGTCCCTGCCGGGGTCTCAGCCAGCCCGGGGTCTGTGCCCGTGTCCCTGCCGGGGTCTCAGCCAGCCCGGGGTCTGTGCCCGTGTCCCTGCCGGGGTCTCAGCCAGCCCGGGGTCTGTGCCCGTGTCCCTGCCGGGGTCTCAGCCAGCCTGGGGTCTGTGCCCGTGTCCTTGCCAGCCTCTGGAGGGTGCTGTGTGCCGTGGGTATTTAGCACTTGCTCAGGGGGAGACCCGCTCAGGGTCCTCCCTGCCCACGATCTGACTGTCTCCTCACCCCGCCAACCCACAGACCGTGGTGGGGACTGACATCGCGGAACTCTTGTTACGTGATCATAAAACCGTGTGGCTTCCTGGGAAGTCGCCCAGTGAGGCAAACCTGATTGATTTTACCAACGAGGCCGTGGAGCAAGTGGAGGAGGAGGCATCCGGGGAAGCCCAGCTCTCCTTTCTCAACGACAGCCAGGCGGCCAGCACCAGCGGTCTGGAGAAAGACACCGAGCGCTTCAGGGAGCTGCTGCTCTACGGCCGCAAGAAGGTGAGCCGTTGCCGCATCCCGGGATGCTCAGGTGCTCTCTGTGGCCCCGTCCTGTGCCGGGCGCAGCTGGGCGCGCCACAGCCCCCTCCGGGTGCTGCCCCCGGCACGGTGCGGCCTGCTGTTGGCCGAGGGCGGCTCCCGCGTGTCCTCTTTCGGAGGGCTCTGGTGATGGTTTCCGATCACCGCGGTTGCAGATAGGAGGTCCGCGCTCAGGCCTTTGGTGGTTGCGTGTGTGTGCCGTGGCTCCACTCGGCCATGCCTGAGGTGCTGACTCTGACTCATAGCGACCCTGTGTACAACAGAACGCCAACCTGGGAGGCAGAAAGTCAGCCTGTTCTCGTTCTTTCCAGCTGAGTGGGTACTGGGAGTTGGGAGGAGGGGTGCAACAGCTGAGCAGGGCCTTGTCCAAGGCCTCAGCCACATGAAAGGGCTGGAGGGGGCAGAGGGTGCTTGCAGGGCTCAGCTCACGAAGAGACTGGGGGGCCACAAGGGGTGTGCATCCTCCTCCGGGGACCCACTCTTGTGAGGAGTGGGGGGCACCAGTGCAAGAATCCAGGGCAGGGGGTGGAGTGGGGCCAGGGTGACCCTAATGGGGACAGCTGGTGTGGCGGCACTGAGGTGGTACACAAAGGACGGGGTCCTGGGTGGAAGGCGCCCCGTCCAGGTGCTGAGGCTGAGGTGCCTGTGAGGTGGCAGTCGGCACTTGTGTGCGTGGCTCTGAGCAGCTGAGACGAGGATGGTCCTGATTCATGAAGAAAGTAAATACTTGATGAGTAAGCGTGTGGATTGTTGTCACTGACAACTGATTTAGATTGTGTAAGCTGTTTGATTTGATGAGTATTTACCTCTTTGCAACATTCCTGCCTTCTAGCCAGGAGTTCCAGATTATCCACGTTTATGTAGAATGAAGGCGTTGGGGGCTGCCCTCATGAAGGCCCTACCCATGCTAGAAGGTGCCAGTGGAGCTCAGGGGCTGCTCCGAACTGGGGTCCCAGTGATGGGGAGCCCGGAGGCTGCTCTGAGCTGGGGTCCCAGTGATGGGATCTTGCTCACAGTGACAGGATGGCCCTGCTTGTCCCTGTCTTCACTTCTGCATCCGTATCCTGGTTCTCTGTGCTGGAAACACGTTTGTTAGCAGTAACTAAAGCCACGTGCACGTATAGGATGACCCACTACCGTAGGAGCTTTGAAACTCAGGACAATGAGGAAAAGTCAGGTTGTCTTTCACTTCTGAGCTGTGAGCAGGTGTGCTGGAGGCTTTGGTCTGTTTGTTCCTGCCCTGTGGTCGAGTCCTCTCCTTTCCTGTTGGTCCGTGAGGGCGTGTGGTCCACGGCCTCTGCTTATTTGTTCCGTGAGCTGCTGTGATGCTTCCACCCACACTCCCAGCTCCATAACTGCCAGACGCTTTGCAGGACGCGCTGGAGTCTGCGATGAAGAGCGGCCTGTGGGGTCACGCTCTGCTGCTGGCCAGTAAGATGGACAGCCGGACGCACGCCCGAGTCATGACCAGGTAGAGAAGCCAGCGCCCGAGGCGCCTCGCCCACGGGCTGGTCAGTGCTGGTGCTTTGTTGTGGGAAAGGAGGGGCACTGGGGGTGCATGGCGGTGCTGTGGCCCTGCCCCCTGGGCGGTATCGTGGCACACGGACCCCATGTCCACCAGCCCTCCCCCCTGGGTGGTATTGGTTGCACGTGGACCCTGTGCCCAGCAGCCCTCCCCCCTGGGTGGTATTGGTTGCACGTGGACCCTGTGCCCAGCAGCCCTCCCCCCTGGGTGGTATTGGTTGCACGTGGACCCTGTGCCCAGCAGCCCTCCCCACTGGGCAGTGTGGTTGCACGCGGACCCTGTGCCCAGCGGCCCTCCCCCCAGGCAGTGTGGTTGCATGCGGACCCTGTGCCCAGCGGCCCTCCCCCTGGGCGGTGCCATGGCACGAGGATTCTGTGCCCACTAGCCATCCTCCCGGGCTGTATGAATGACCAGTTTTTAAATTATTTATAACTGTATGACTGTTAATGTTTTCTATAAATCTCAGTGAATTCAATAATCTTCATTTTTAACAGCTAGAAAGAAATCACTAAAATTTGTAGTTTGCTTAGGTTAGTCCCCCACGAAGTCTTTAGATAAAGGGGCTGAGATCAGACCTAAGCTGTATTTCTCTAAACCGAGCCCAGGCTGAATCTCTGTGTTGTTGTGTCTGCCTAGGTTTGCCAACAGCCTGCCCATTAATGACCCCCTGCAGACGGTCTACCAGCTCATGTCTGGGCGGATGCCGGCAGCGTCCACGGTGAGTCAGTCAGGAGCCCCGGGCGTGTGCTTGCAGGGCTCTGGCTCACAGGTACTGTCGGAGGCGCAGGTCTGCATGTGCTTTTTCTCCCGCTTCCTGCCTGCGCTCGGGGAGCTCAGTCGTCAGGAGCGGGAGCACCGCCCGCAGCTCGGGCTTTACTTTGTCCCCGTGCCGCAGTGTTGTGGAGACGAGAAGTGGGGAGACTGGAGGCCGCACCTTGCGATGGTTTTGTCCAACTTGAACAACAGCATGGAGGTGGAGTCCAGGACGATGACCACAATGGGGGACACGCTGGGTAAGGGCTGAGGTGGGGGTTGGCCCGAGACCCGGCTGCGGTCAGTGCTGCCGGGGGACTGAGCCACGAGGCGTTCACGTTCTTCTAGCGGGCTTTTGGCGTTTTCTGTCAGAAACCTCTGACCTCTGTGAGCCTGCCCAGTGGTGAGGCCTGTTGTGTGTCTCTGCAGCTTCCAAAGGCCTCTTAGATGCTGCGCACTTCTGCTACCTTATGGCCCAGGCTGGATTCGGGGTCTACACAAAGAGAACAACAAAACTCGTGCTGATTGGCTCGAACCACAGGTGAGGAACCAGCGGATGTGACGGCCCCTCTTCCTTAGAGCAGGAGCCCTCACCCCTGCCCCCCGCCCTGCTGGTTACGCGGGTAGTGGCTGCGTTTCTGTGCTGACCTCGGCTTCTGCGCCCCGATCCATGTGTGGCAGGAACACTGGGTGATGACGCAACAGTTGGCGGCTGTTTCAAATCAAAACCATTCTTTCCTCCACAGTTTGCCATTTTTAAAGTTTGCAACCAATGAAGCTATTCAGAGAACAGAAGCCTACGAGTACGCCCAGTCCCTTGGGGCCCACACCTGCTCCCTGCCTCATTTCCAGGTAGGTGGGGGTGGGGGCAGGGATGGATTACCCAGTAAGCAAGGTAAGCATGATGCTTACTTTGTTTTCCAGATCGTCTGTAGTGAACAATTTTCACATTTTTTCACCACATCAAAGATTTTGCTTCTAGATACGGCTGGCATCTGTCTCTCTCTCCCAACCTTACAGCGTCTTCCTATAGCATCACAGCCTCTTTGCAAACTTTCAGTCCCTTTGTAGGGCCAGATGACCCACCAAGCAAGGTAAGCACGGGTTCACTCTTGCTTACTTACTAAGTAAGTAATTTTACTGAAACCCATGTGAAATTGTTCACTACAGATTAGTAAGTAAGCAGAAGGAAGCCTGTGCTTACCTTGCTCAGTGGGCTTCCCCCCGCCCCAGGGTGTGGATCTTCAGCTCTAACATCTGACAGTTAGCGCCACGAGTTTTGGATTCTTATGCAAAGGATGCAGCTTTTTGGAACGCCACCTTCCTGGGGAGACATTTGATCTGTAATGCTCTAAAGCTAGACCGCATTGAATGGAAGACTTCGTTGGCATTTTGGTTCTTAATATTTTAAATGATAAAAATTTGGAGCACTTGGTTCCAAGTCTCGGATGTGCTGAGAGCTACGTCTGGGTCTCACAGCTCGTCCTCGGGCAGAGAGAACGTGTGCTAGAGTGCCACGCGGGCACCGCGGGCACTTTGGGGCAGTCCTGCCCGGCGCGTGTCATGCGCCCTGCTGAAACGCTGGCAGAGCCCTGGCTCTCGTTGGGGGGCCCCAATGGCTGCATTAGAGGTGGGGAAGGAGAAAGCAGAGTGGGATTCTGAGAAGCCTAGTCTGCTTGCTTTGATCCTGGAGTATCTCGTGGAACGGGGCCACGTACCACTTAGGGCAGGGAGGGGGCCGCTCGGTGGTACACAAAACTGCCTGAGATTCCACAGCCGACAACGCTGTGGGCCAGACGGGGAGAGCTGGCAGCTGAGCTTCCTCTGCTTATGGCAGGTGTTTAAGTTCATCTACGCCTGCCGGCTGGCTGACATGGGACTGGCCACACAGGCCTTCCACTACTGTGAGGTCATCGCCAAGAGCATCCTGGCGCAGCCCCACGCGCACTCGGCCGTGCTCATCAGCCAGCTCGTCCAGGTGCGTCCTTGCGAGGCCTGCGGTGGTGCGGCGGGGCTGGGGGTGATGGCAGCGCAGCACTCAACCTGGTTCTGGGCAGGCACTATACGTGGTGGTGTGGGAGCTCTCAGGTGCCGTCCCAGGTGGGAACTTAGCAGTGAGGGTCCATGAGGAAGACCCCTGTGTCCCTGCTGATTCCTGCTTTGAAGCGATCGAGTCTTGTGGTCAAGAGCTGACACCAGGGCCCAGCAGCCTGGGGGTGAGGCCCGGCTCCACCGCCAGGAGCATCAGTCTCCTCATCTGTGAGATGGGCTGGCACGACTGAGAGCGGTCATGAGGAGCCACTGACGGAGGCCAAGTGGCCCAGGCGGCCATTCCAGCGGCACCCACTCCACACACGGTCCCCTCATGTGCTCACCCCCAGGCAGTCACTCCCCCACGCGGTCCCCTCTCAGGCGGTCCCGCCGTCTGTGGTCCCCACCCCAGGGCGAGCGTTTTCTTGCTGTCCTTACAGTGGTGATGGGACCTTTGTGAGGCGGGTGGTCATGTCACAGTGGCCGTGTCAGTGTGCCTCCTCTCACCCGACAGCGTCGGTTAGAAAACACGCTCCCGTGATACCTTTAAGATCTGTTCTCACGGAAACTTCTAGACCGACACAGAAGCAGAGGGGATAATCAGAGTCCCCTGCCCCCTCCCCCAGCTCCAGCAGCGATGAGCACGTGGTCAAGCGTGTTCCGCCGGCCCCACCCACCGTGCGTTAAAGACAGGCTGCAGACCTCACCTCTCGGTGCAGCCGCGGCGTCCTTGCCACGTGCCGGTCAGGGCCCAGCAGGGGGCAAAGCTACACCAGGTGTTTGAACAGAGACTTCACCTGAGGAATTGGGGCCCTGGTGGTTTTGGGGGTGAGAGTGCCTTGGGACCCCTGGAGGAAGCCCCCACAGGACGCAGCAGCGCTCCTGAGCAGTGGGGGCGGGAGAGGCTGGGGGAGGAAAACGCAGCTCAGGGGAGAGGCCCTGGGACTGTACTGGCCCAGCCACTGGTGCTGGGTGTCAGGGCACGTGTGTGAGGGGGCTGGTGCTGCCGCTGCTCTGGACGGGGCCGCCGCTGCTCGGGGAGGGGCTGCCACTGCTCAGACGGGGCCACCGGTGCTGGGTGTCAGGGCACGTGTGTGAGGGGGCTGGTGCTGCCGCTGCTTGGGACAGGGCAGCCGGCGCTCCGGACAGGGCTGCCGGCGCTCGGGGAGGGGCTCATGCTGCTGCTGCTTGGGACAGGGTGGCCAGCACTCGGGACCGGGCGGCTGGCACTCGGGACGGGGCTGCCGACACCTGGGGAGGGGCCGCCGGTGCTAGGTGTCAGGGCACGTGTGTGAGGGGGCTGTTGTTGCTGCTGCTTGGGACGGGGTGGCTGGCGCTTGGGACGGGGCCGCCGGGGCTCAGGACGGGGCCGCTGGTGCTCAGGGAGGGGCCGCCGGCGCTCAGGGAGGGGCTGGGTCTGCCAGCGCTCTGGGAGGGGCCGCCGGTGCTGGGTGTCAGGGCACGTGTGTGAGGGGGCTGTTGTTGCTGCTGCTTGGGACGGGGTGGCTGGCGCTTGGGACGGGGCCGCCGGGGCTCAGGACGGGGCCGCTGGTGCTCAGGGAGGGGCCGCCGGCGCTCAGGGAGGGGCTGGGTCTGCCAGCGCTCTGGGAGGGGCTGCCTGTGCTCGGGGAGGGGCTGGGGCTGCCGGTGCTTGGGGAGGGGCTGGGGCTTGCTGGCCGAGGGGCCAGCCGTTGCGGGGACCCAGCAGACGGGGCTCACAGAGGATGGTCCTGCTTCCCTGCACCCGCAGTCTATCCCACACCTTCGTGCCCCAGAGCAGAGATGGGCCCACGGGATTACCGCCTCCACTGCCTACCCCAGAGAGGCTGTGTAGACAGCTCCTTGGGGGTTGCTTGAGGCACAGTGGAGAGCAGGCCTCTAGAATCTGGCCTTTTCATTCGTTTCTTAGAAACGTGCGAAGCAGAGTGAGGTCTGCTGTTGTTTTTCAAGCTAGATCAGGGACTGTGTCTGTTCCTCGCTCATCCAGCATGTCGATGAGCACACACAGGGTCTGTACGGACCGGATGGAGCAGGCAGCATGGTCCCGGTGAGGGTCCGGGCGCTGCTGCCATGTGCGCAGGCGCGTCGGTGGGCTGTCTGTAGTGAGCACTTGCGTCCTAGGCTGTCTTTCTGGTCACCAGATGTTACATGAAAATGTTTAAGGGCGTGTCACATGAGCATCTGTTCAGAGCTGATTAAAACCTCGTCTTCGATTTAGCAGGGACCTACGTTTGTTCCAGGTGACGGCAAGTTTTGAGAACACCGTTTCGCACTCCGCCCTCCGGCGGTAACGGGCCTCTGTCTTCCCACGTTTCTAGGTAGCCTCCCGGTTACGACTCTTTGACCCCCAGCTGAAAGAGAAGCCAGAAGAGGAATCCTCTGCCGAGCCCCCCTGGCTGGTCCGGCTGCAGCGTGTGGAGAAGCAGATGCAGGTGGGCCTGGCTTTAGGGCCGGACACTTGTCACAGGACGAGGAGCTGCGTCCCCGTCTTTTCCCGGTGAAGGTGTCTGAGCTGAGTGGCGTCATTGCAGAGGTGGGCGGGTGTCAGGAGGGTCGCAGGACACCATGTGCAGAGGGGCTGATGGACGATGGCTCCTGCATCTCGCTTGTCTCTCCCCAGGAGGGTGCTGGGACCTGGCGGCAGGATGGAGCCTTCCCCCCACAGTGTCCCAGCACGCCAAGCTCCGAGGTGGAGCAGTACAATGGCCCAGGCCCCAGGCAGCCAGCAGCTCTCGGCCCCGAGAACCCGCTGCTGCTGCCTCTGCCGAACACTGAACTCTCCAGCCCCAGTGTGCAGCTGCTGCCGTCAGGTGAGCCCCTCAGAGCAGGAGAGCCCCCCAGGAGCAGGGGAGCCCCACCAGGAGCAGGGGAGTCCCCCTGGGAGCAGGAGAGCCCCCCGGGAGCAGGGGAACCCCCAGGAGCAGGGGAGCCCCCCAGAGCCCCCTATGTGCTGTGTTTGCTGTCCGGGACAAGAGGAGACATTTCGTCCCCCCCGAGGTCTGAGGAGCTCCTCAGATCTTCTTATTTTCTCTGCTTATTGCTGGGTGAGCCAGCCTGGTGCGTGGCTCGGTGCCCCTGGGCAGGCAGCGCCCTTGTCTGCCCGTCACGTTTGATAACGGGCGCGAGCACCCACCCTGTCCACCCCGAGAGGGCCGGCTCTGCCCTCCCCAAGCCGGTGAGGTGGCCATGGCGGTGTTGGCACCTCTGTTGCGATTGTCAGCTCGTGACGGCATGTGGCCACAAGACGGCCTGGGGGCTGTGCTTTCTGAAAGACTGGCTTCTTCGCATTAGTAAACGATTCTCCCCTCCGTTGTACTTACAGCCACGCAGCAGCCCGGCCCCGCCATGGTGCCACTCTTCCCAGTGCTGCCCCCGGCCGAGCCAGGGCCTGTCTGTGCGCCCCCAGGGTCTGCACTTGGCTTCCCAGAGCCCGCACGGCCTGATCTCACAGCGCCGTACCCAGCGCCATACCCAGGGCCAGGCGTGCCAGCAGGTGTCCCTGCTGTCCAGCAAGACGAGCCTGGGCATCAGGACTCAGGTGGGTCTGTAGGTGCGCCGTGGGCACCAGAGCATAGGGGCCCAGGCCGTGTGCTGGGAGGAGACTGGTGGGAGAGGCTTCGCGAGTGGCCTGATCTTGAGACAAGTTTCATCACATCTCCATCCAAACCAACCAGACCCATTGCCATCCAGTCGATTCTGACTCATAGCGACCCTATAGGACAGAGTAGAACTGCCCATAGGGTTTCCAGGGAGCAGCTGGTGGAGTCCAATTGCTGACCTTTTGGCTAGCAGCCAAGCACTTAACCACTGTGCCACCAGGGCTCCTCATGTCTCCATATAGACGCAAAATTCTAGAAGTTAAGGCGACTGGTTAGGATTCTTGCCAGAGTAAAACGTCAGCACTGGTTTCTCGTGTGACTTGGTTGTTTGCTGTGATGCGAGGCTTAGATGGACGTTCAGGGCCAGATGAGGTGGCGCCGAGGGGCCCCAGGCTCTGTCTTTAGACCTCCTCATGAGCACCCGGGGGGAGTTGTGAAGTCAGCACGGAGGTCAGACCTGTTCCTTGTTCCTGTGTGTCCTCAGCGGTCCTTGTCTATTGGGACAAAGACGACGTTGACAAAGACAGTATTTCCACAGATTCGGGATGAGTCTCATCCTCAGTTTCTGAAAATAACGTGGGTGCCGTAGGGCTCCTCCGAGAAGTGGGGCATCTCTCAGTCTGTGTATCTGACTGCTGCCCTCCCTTTTGCTGACAGGCGTCCTGCCTCAGGAGTCCCCTGTGAGGAGCTCCCTCTCGGAGCCGAGAGAGGACGATTTTGGCGGAAACATGGCTCATCTGGTACTCTCTCACGTTTTGGGGTTGTTTTTTGTTTTTTTCTTTAGCTATTTGTTTCCGTAGATAAAGTTCATCATTGAGGTGTTTCTTTTTTAATTGGAAGTAGAGAGAAAATAACAAAAATTATGAAATCCTACGTTAAGTTATTTCTTAAAAGAGAAACTCTTTCTAAGACAGCTGTAGTCCTGACGACAGGAAGAAGTGTTGAAAAGGTTTTCTCAGGGAAAGAGAGGGGACATCATTCGCCTGTGTGGAAACAGGCACCGCAGCCAGCTGGAAGACACAGCCACATGGAGTGAAACCCCTGTATTAAGTTTCCTAAAATGGGGGAGCTTCCCTGGTGTCTGAATCTCTTTTTCTGTAATAAAAAAAAAAACAAACCCACTGCCATCGAGTCAATTCTGACTCATAGCAACTATAGGGCAGAGTAGAACTGCCCCAGAGGGTTTTCAAGGAGCGGCTGGTGGATTCGAACTGCTGACCTTTTGGTTAGCAGCCGAGCTCTTAACCACTGCGCCACCAGGGTTCTTCTTGAAATTGTGATTTATTTTGTTAGTCAAGTTTGGTGTTGATACCTTGTCCGTTTACTCCAGTCCCCGCTGGAGAAACAGGAAGCGTTTATCCACATGGGGCCTCTGGAACCTTCTTTTCGGAGGCGGAGCCTTTTAGGAGCGTCTCACCAGCAGACAGTTCTTGCGGTTTAAAACTTTCATTATGTATTCAACTATTTAAAATTTTCTGTTCCTGGAAGAGAAATATGAGAGTTTTTAATTGCATTGAAAATGGTATCTTAATCCAGGAGTAAACATTTTTCTCTGAAATTCTCTAAACACCCTATAATTCTCTGAAAGACCCACCGCGCAGCCGTGCAGCCAGCCTCACCCTCAGCGCGTGTGGTCCACCTCTTCCTGCTGAGCTGACGTCCGCTGAGCGCTGGCATTGACACTGAACAGTGCAGTGCTCCTTGTTGGCTGCGAGCTGGCCTTTCCCTAGTCAGGCCCCAGGAAGCACGAGACCGCCAGTCTCAGCCTGAGGGTGACATGTCTGTCCTGGCTGCTCTTCATCCTGGGAGCGGTCTGACCTCTCAGGGACGTTTAGTGATGCCCTGGGCAGTGGTTCCTGGTCGGGGAGCACCAGGCGAGCCTGCCCTGCCATTCTCTGCACAGGAGTACACGGGGCAGTCACAGGACTCGGAGCCCCCCCTGGGGTGGGAGCACACGGACTCTGGTGGGCTGCCGCCTCCCGAGCTGAAGAAGCCTGTGAAAGCCACCCAAGATGAGGTCAAGGAACCTAAGAAGGTAACAGCGCGTCTCCCGCCTGGGGCGGGCGAGGGCCTGAGGTGGGCGGGCCCAGGTAACAGGCTTCAATTCCCAGGAGGTAGCAGCAGCCCTAAACTGGAGGCAAGGAGAAGCCCGTTTTCCTTCTTGACAAAGCCGAGGCTTTCTAACTCTTCGGCTGAGGTCTGGTAGACATGAGATAGAGTTTGTAACGTGTGTAATGTGCACACCAGCCAGGCGGTGTTCTGTGTGCGCACGCGCAGCTCCTCCAGTCAGCAAGGGGAGCATCTCCGGCCCCAGCAGGTGCCACAGTGTCTGTTAGCTGTTGGTGCTCCCCACAGGTGTGACCTCTCCTGACTTCTGTCCCACAGGTGGTTTTGCCTGTTCTTGGGCTTCACGCAGAGGAGTGAGGTGGCAGAGTTCCTTGTTTAGTTGGGTGCATACACCGTCGTTTTATCTACCCAGGCTCCCGATAACGCTTTTGAACCGTGTTCTGTTCAGACTCAGTATAAGAAAGCCGTGGAGCATTCCTGTCACGGCTTAGGGGCCAGTGCACCCGTTTCTCTTGGGCATGTGCCTAGAGGTGGAATTGCTGGGCCACAGAAGAGGTGTGTGCCCAGCTTTCAGAGCAACTTGAGCCCACTGTCCTGAGCGGTGGCACTGTTCATACCCCCAGCGGCAGGCATGGAGTGCCGACCGCCACACCGCGCCGCCTGTGCTGGGGGGTGGCGGTCCACAGTGACCTCATTGGCGTTTTCTGGATGAGTGATGATGTGAGCGTAGTCTCATGTGCTTACTGCCCATCTTTCTCTGATGACCAGTGTCTTGGAAATAAGCGCAGATTGCAGGCAGGGTGTGCAGGATCATGAGAGAAAATGAGACTTTGAAGCCGACGTTAGGCCTGCAGAGTGCTGCCGACCTCCCGGCCAGGCCAGCTCCGCGGCGGTGACCCGCGCTGTGTGCGTGGCGGCTGCTTTTGGTTTGTTTTCTTTCTTCGTAAGTGGAACAGGCAGGAAGTGACACGCAACCTGTGAAGGTAGAGCAAGTTTTCTGAGCCCTTTCTCCCGGCGCAGGAGAAACGGGCCTCTGATTTGGGGACATCCACCCCACTTGCCTGGCTGTGCCTCCCACGCCTCCGAGGCTGGCAGGAGGGTGTTCGTGCGTCGACGTCGTCATGTGAAAACTCCTGACGGCACGTTCTCTGATCCCTCTGCTTAGACCGTCGAGTCCTGGTTCTCTCGTTGGCTGCCTGGGAAGAGGAAGACAGAAGCTTATCTGCCGGATGACAAAAACAAGTCGGTAAGTGGGGCGCCGCGGCGGGCGGGGCGCTGCGGGGGTCTGTGGTCTGCCTGCCTCCGCCGTTTGTACGGTGGAGTTCAGATCCAGAGCAGGTCCGAGAAGATATTCTCTCAAGTTCTAAAGTGTGACAGTTAACCAGATTCTAGTTGTTTACCTTCAGTCCACTAATTTTTTCCTTTACTCTTTTGAATCTTGGCAGATTGTTTGGGATGAAAAGAAGAATCAGTGGGTGAATTTAAATGAACCGGAAGAGGAGGTAAGTTGTCACTGCAGGTGTTTGCTGTAACTGGAGAGACAGCCGCGCTGTGAATATTACAGTGTAGGGGCACTTTAGCACCCTCTTTGGAGAGTCCTAACCGTGGAATGTTCCGGTGGCTTCCATGAAGTGCATTTCTGAAGCTGTCTTTCCCTTTGCAGAAGAAGGCTCCACCCCCACCTCCAACGGCATTTCCCAGGGCTGCTCAAAATGCCCCTCCCGGGCCTGGTGGCACCCCCAGAGCCGCTGTGAACGTGTTTTCTAGAAAAGCAGGTAACAAACCAGAAACGAGAGTCTGTTGGGAGTCCAGCGATTACAGCACACGTGTCGGGGTCGTTTTTCACGTTGCAGAAGGAAGTACTAGCTTTAGAAAGATGAGTCCGTGGGGTGGGAAGATCCCAGTTCTGCAGAGACTAAGCTTTTCTCAGCAGACTTTCAGCATGCTGACCGGTGGGGGCGTCCGACAGGCCCCTGAAACACCGCCTTGGCCCGGCGGCCGAGCCCTTGCAGGTCTGCTGGGTGGAGGCCATCCGTTGCGTCTGGGCCCGGGTGGCCCTTGACGGCCCTCCTGTCTGCTGACAAATCAGGGCGGAGCTGCGTGTTGCTGAGGCACGTGGGGCGGCAGCAGTTGGTCTGAGGGCCTGAGTTTGGCTGCTCTCTCCCTCCACAGCCAGAACCAGAGCTCGCTACGTTGATGTTTTGAACCCAAGCGGGACCACGCGGGGTGAACCCGTCCTTGCTCCCGCAGAGTTCTTTGCTCCACTTGCCCCACTCCCGATTCCTGCACACTTGTTTGTCCCAAACCCAGGTAGGCAGGCCACGCGCGAGCCCCCTGTGAGTGCCCCCTGACCTCTGACCGTCTCCCTGAGGGCTGCCGGCCAGGGGTCGCCTGAGCCTCTTCATTGACTCACTTACCTCTCCTGCCCCAAGCGCGTGGCGTGCAGCTCTGCCTCTGGCAGTTTTTAAAATGAAACCCCAGGATGTTCTGGATGGAGCGACAGCTGACTGCTCCTTCTCATCCGCAGCTCCCGAGGAGCCCCCGCCTGCAGGAGTGGGTGACCCAGGAGGGCAGGCGCCAGCCGGGGGGCAGGCCCAGCCTGAGCCCACCTCGGAGACCAAGGTTAGTAGGGGCTGGGGGTGGGAAAGGGGAGAACGCTCCCTGGGAGTCCGCCCCCCAGTTCGCAGTGGCCCTCTGTTACTGTGTGCTGGTTTCCCGTTTTCCTGGAAGGGGGTTTCCTGGTGAGGGTCCTCAAAGGACTCCATCACAGTTACGTACGTGTTGTGTGGTGTTTTGTCTTGCTGAAATGACAAATTTTTTTTTAATGTTTTAAAGGTTATATGGAAATAAGTGAAATTTAGTGGCTCAGACTCGGTCTCTAGAGTTAGATAGACTTTGATTTGACTCCTGGTTTTCCATTAGTTGCTGTTTAAAGTTTGGGGAAGCCACTTCTCTGAGCCTCAGTTTCCCTTCTATAAAATGGGAATGACAACAGGACCAAATGGGGCTGTGGACAGGCTTCGGTGAGGCTCCGCATGCAGCCGTGAGCCCCGCCTGGCACAGCGGGCGCTCAGTCAGGCTGAGCTGACGCTCAGCGGGTGCTCAGTCAGGGGGAGCTGCAGCACCTGACACCCACAGAGCAGTCAAGGTGCCTGGGCGTGTGGGGCACTTGATGTGGAGGAGCAGCTGTCCTGGGCCAGAGCGGCAGAGCATTGTTCCTCTGCCTTGTGGAAATGACCTTTGACTTCTCCGGGATGTGGTCACTGCTGCACTTCCCGTTTTTCTTGGCAGATCGTGAGCTCTGCAGCGCGGCCCCCGGGCTCTGAGTTCCCGCCCTGCGGTGCGGACGTGTCCCGGGGAGGAGAGGTGAGGTGGGCCTCGCCCGGGCTCGGTCCGCTTGTCCTAGGTCCAAATGGCTGCTCCTTTTCAAAGCATGTGCTCACGGGGAGGAAAAGACAGCTCGGACACGGTCTTAAGCTTGTTTTAGTGGAGTTGTGCCGGGGCTTCGGTCCTCTCGGCGCCCACAGGCGGGGGGATGTGAGCTCAGCTCCATAAGCAAGGCCTCCCCTCAGTGTAGCGTGATGCTCTTCACTCCTCCGGTGTCGGGTGAGGCCGGGTAGGCCAGGGCGGGGCAGATCCCCTGACCCCAGCCCACGCGAACAGTCGTCCTTAGTGACAACCCTGCCTCAGAGTGTGAACGTTCGCCCAGCTCTGGCTGTGTCCCCGCGGGATTGTACTCATTCTGATGGCACCACAGAGCTTCCTGAGACTGTCCCGCCAGCCTGAGTGTGCTGACGTCTGTCCGTCTGTGTCTTCTTGCTGTTTTGTAGCTTTCGCGCTGTAGTTCAGTGAGCTCGTTGTCACGTGAAGTGAGCCAGCACTTCGATCAGGTACTTCCGGCTGGCGCTTCCCACTCACCACCGGAGTTCATTTGGTTGTCTTGTCTTCCGTTGGCGACGCCGGGTATTGGTTTGTGGCTGTGCCCCATGTGACTGACACTGCTGGTGTCGCGCTTGGACCTCACGTAACAAAGTGTTGTGTCCAGGGATCCTCTGTTGTCAGATGTCCAGATGATCACCCAGCGGGCTGGCCCGGGGTTGGCAGTGGGGGCAGCCTCCCTGGCTGTGCGCTCCGTCTGCAGCCTGCGCCCGCCTGCTCTCCTCCGGAGGAAGGGGCTGTGTTTTCTGATCGAGTGCGTGGAGCTGGGTTTTCAGCCAGGGAGAGTGTGACGTGGATGCCTGTGTGACGGCCAGTCTTGGTGGGAGATGAAGGGCTCCTTCATCTTTTCGGTAGCTCATGGAACTAAGCTTTTTCCCATCGGGCTCATCAGAGGTGGGCTCCACAGCCGGACCAGCAGGTCTGGAGAACTGCACACACTCCATCAGCTGCTCGCACGGGACCAGCGTGGCGTGGGGTGCCGCGCGCCTCGGTCTGCATGCGCCCCCTCTGCCGCTTTTCCCTCTGCACGCCGCTTTGACTTTGACTGTTTTACTAGAACCACTGAGTAATTAAATCCAGTGTTGGCATCTTAAAGTTCTTAACAAAGAGTAGCTCTCCTTTGCAAAGGAAGCACAAACTGTTGGTAACGCTGACTTCTCTGTGGTTCCCAGGCACCCAGTGACCAGACCCCTGCAGGGGGCCCTCCAGGGGGAGCTGTGCCCTTCTATAACCCTGCCCAGTTTGCACAAGTAAGTGACCGTTGTCTCTGCCAGGGGGTGGAGAAGGCCTCCCCCTGATATACTTGCTGCCTTAACTGACCCCTGCTTCCCCGTCTGCCGCTGCCCATGGCGTAAGGGTTCCTGCTGCTGGGTAGTTTGCGCTCAGTAGAGGCCAGTTCACGGCCCTGGCTTTGCGCTGGCTTCCTGTGACCAGAAGGGACAGCCTGCAGGGACGAGAGCAGCTGCCGCTGGCCCTGCCCACCCACTCTGCTCCTCTGAGGCCCCTCCCCACCCACCCTGCTCCCCCGAGGCCCCTCCCCACCCACCCTCCTCCCCTGAGGCCCTCACTTTGAAGTCTGGGCTCACTTTGGTGTTCAGCTTCCATCTGCCTCCTCATTGTGTGTGATCATGTTCCTGGACACTCGGCTTCCAGCATTTTCTTCTGGCTCCCACCCCACACCTCTAGACACCAGGACTGTCAGCTTGTATTTCTGTGTAAATGCCGCTCACAGCGGAGCCTGGGCCCCAAGACTTCCTGAGTGATTTTTGTTTTCTCCTGGGCTGTCATTTTTAAGCATGCTTCATTTTCCGTGAGGTGCTGTGATCCAGCTGCGTCTCCGCCACCCTGCTGAGCTGCCCGCACCCTGGGGTCACCCTCTCCCAGGCTCGGCCGCTCCACCAGTGTCTGTGCTCCCCCACCTCTGGGGCGGCTCCCCGCTCCTGGAATCCTTTCTCATCACCTTGCTTGTCAGTCTCTCTGGTGACACTCGTCCTTGTCATCATAGTTGCTGCTTGATAAAACTGGGCAGGAGGTCGACCTCTGGAGGCCCTGCAGTCAGCAGCCTTTATTCCACCCGTGTGGCTGGCTGGCTAGAATTCTCAGAAGTCATTTCCTCAGAGCCGAAGGTGGTCTGTTAGCGACTGGGCTAGGTGCAGCTCTACAGAAGCCTGGTGACCTCTAAACATAGCCGGGACTTCAGAGGGAACGCCGAGGTTTAATACCCACCGTCAGAGGGAACGCCGAGGTTTAATACTACTAACGCCGAGGTTTAATACC